GTAAGTGTATAAACATGTAATGCTAATGAGGGAAAAGTTTTTGTTGTTCTTGTCATTATTCATATAATGGACTGCAAACTTGCTCTGATGTTTGGTTATATTGAGCCAACAAAGCATTGCTTTTTTGCCGACTCATTGTTTATTAAAATAAAAATCGACAATATAGTATTATATTATTATATAGTAATATATTAAAATAGCATTCACAATGGATATTTACAAATCAATAAATACAATCACTGCTTAACCCAGATATGCAAAGAATACAACATACTGTACACTCGTTATTTGGAAGTTACACTTTTAATCAGAATCCTTAACATAACCTCAAGCTCAACAAGCTCTTTAGAATAATTAACAAACAGTAAACCTAGAATTTTTAACATAGCAGCTGTACTGCATGCAGTTCACTGGGTTAAGTTCTTCTCTGAACACATGGTACAATTATAAAAGGTAACAGCAAGTCCCAGCTGATTTGATTCCAACGTAATACTAGTGTCAATATGAATTTGACAAATTATGTTTTTAAAAATTACCCAACAGGAAAATTGGGAACGCATACAATTTGTAATTGTTCTTTATTAAATGTGCTCCCGTATTCAATTTACTCAATCTGCCTGCTGGGAAAGTTTGAGGAAGCAAATCTTTCTTCAAGGAACAACTCGCTATTCCCTGCATTTGTATATGTGTTACACATATATATGGCAATGGCTCAATTGGAAGAAAGATGTGGAAGCGATAGAAATATAAATTTGATAGATTTTCATTCATGTTTTTCAATTTTTATTTTGAGGATTCGAAAATATTTCATTTTCAAAATAAAAATAATTTGATGATAATTTGTTTGTTTGTTTACATTTTTCTGTCAAATGAGTTGACACTAGTAGAACTTGCAACAACAAATTTCCATGTGGTTGTTGTATCGTTTTTTTGTACAACAACACTTGCTGCTACCTTCTATTATTATACCATGCTCTGAACAGAGGAATATGCCAGAATATAAAACAATGTTTTAAAGTTGCCAGTAATGCTACATGCAGAGTATAGAAAAATAAAGAAATAAAGTGTAAAATTAGTTAATAGCCCCGGTTTGGGTACTACGATTTTGAGTTGAATATTCCTTTTTTTTCTTTATTTATTTATTCCATTCCATTAATCATATCAATTTCTTTGTATACTTCACTAGCAAATTCGTATAATTTTCGCTAATTCACGCTCACAAAACAAAATATGTATCATTTACCCATTTTCGTGCCTTTGTTGCAAGCACGTGTTCGTAAACACACGGCCAATGTAGTTGTGTGATGCTAACAAATGTTCCGCCAAAACATTATAGTCTTCTTGAATTATGGAAGCTTTAAATCTATAGCAGCATTGTTGATTTGCATTTATTACACATAAGTGTAAACAGATTGACAATAGAGTCTTCCGATAAGAATTCACACCATTAGAGTTTGTAAAATATTTTAAAATTTTGCAAAAAAAAAAAAAAAACTGCCATACATTAAATGTATGTGTCTAAAGTAAAAGAATGTGCCCATTCTTGAAGCCAATGAGACATGAGAACCCGCAAAAGTGAATGAAATTATGTGAAGGCAAATTCATGATGGTTGAATCCCCGCCGGATCCTTTTATTTTCCTATTAGCATTCATCTCTAATGTTTCGTCATTCATAGCCCCATTGAATGATGTATTCATGTGGAAGAGATGCCATGCCATAACAACATTAGTTGTGACGGAATTTGTCTGACATCAGGCAGGTGCTGAGTCGATGGGGGCGTTCTCCAATTTATATTTTTGCAACAATTTACTTTAATCTTGTTTTATTGTTTGTCTGCTGTCGTTTACGTTACTTTTCTCTTCAGAGCAGTTAATGTTTTCAACAAGGAAAGTGATGGTGAAATATATAGGCGAAGGGTGGGTGGTACTGGCATGATGGTTTTTCTATACATAAAATTACAAATGTGCATGTTAACGAACGAGCGAGTCACACAGATTCGTTTCAACATTGACAAAACACATGCACAGGTGTTGTTGCTGCGCTGTTTAAATAATCGTTTTTGTTTTCATCTAAACATTTTTAACGAGAAAGTGCAAAACAATCTAAACAAGAACAGCAACAACGACGACAACAGCACCAGCACCAGCTAGTAGCAGCACCATCAACTTTTGTTTTTGCATTAACTTTTGTGGTATGTTGGTGTGTGGTGTCGCTGGTGTAGTGACAACATTAATTATGCTGTTATTTCGTTAAAGGCGCCCCACATCTGCGCATAACCAGCATGTCGAACATTACAAAGCCCTCAATCGGCTCAAACCGCTTCCATTCCATCACATGCATTATTATTATGAACAAAGTTTAGAAAAATATGTAAGTGGAAGTGCAGGGAATCGCTTGTAATTATAATAGCTATGTTGCTATAAATCGCCCAGTCCACAGATTAGCTAGCAAAACCTAATGACGAGGAACCAATAGCCTAGATAAAATGAAATAATTACAAAATTATAGCATTTATTTGCTATAACAAGGATAGCATCCTTATTTAAGTTATTGTACTCAAACACAACAAGTCGAGCATCTTGATTTTGGAATCCATTACAAACGACATCAACTATTATCTAATGGCTCTCATAAATTGCTACATTAACAAACAGACCAACATTTAAAACGACGACAACAACTACCACAAAAATATAATAGAATCGAAAAAATGTGCATGTCTCTTGGCCATCCTTTATGCTTAGTCAGGCTTCACTTGGTTGCTGTTGTCACCCCTTTTGCTTTTGCTCCTCCCCCCAAACAAGAACAATCGATTGCGTGTAAAATTGAAAATTACAGCATTGATGTTGTTGTCGTTTCGTTGGACTTTTTTTTTCTTCTTGGTTTTGTTGTTATTTTTGTCACGAAAACAATTTAAACGGTCGAACAGATCTGCCGGCCACAGGTTACTACATTTAGCACTAAATTTATTCATATTGTCTGATTGTTGCACGTCGTAGTTGTTCTTGTTGTTGTTGCTGACTGGATCCATTTGATTTGTATAATTCAGTTGTTGAAATGCTCAACATTGAAAATAAATTCCACAACATGACATGAAATTCATTTCGACAATCAACCGGACCATTCGTTCTTCGTTAAACAAACAGTATGGTTTAGTTGTATAGTTTCCAAAAAATATTAAATATACTATTATTTTCTTTGGAGAGAGATACGAAGCCTTAAGCGTTGATATTTTTGATGCATGCACCGCTTTTGTTGTGCTCAAAGGGAGCACATATATCTGATTGGTTTATTGGTTTATTTAAATTGATCCAGATGAGAATAACAAATATATTCGTTAACCTATAAACTATAATATTTCAGTAATAGTTGAAATAGTTCCGAATATAAAAGAAGGACTCTTTGGATCGACTATATAGCCCGTATTTTTGTAGAGTGGGTAATTTGATTACATTTTCTTTTTGACTAACTTTGTTCTGAATTTACTCTCTGATACAATACATTGACCACTACTGAACGTATTAGAAGATCTATTAGCTTCTCCCTCTCTTAACTATATGTTTAATAGCCTCTAAAACATAATTTCCTGATACTGTATTTTCCACAAAATTAAAAAAATAATAATTAACTCTCTGTCTCTCATGCAGCTAGCACACAAACACACACACTTCATTTAACGCAATGTGAATATATCCATTTCGATTACCATTGTGCTGACTAATATTATAAAGCTTAATTGTTTGGAAGATATTCCCGTTAAATGTTGTTGTCTCTCGGTGTAGCAGGACGTGTTTCCATTTTATCCAATTATTTCGGTTATTATCTTTCCGGTCATTAGGCACGAAACTCCATTTAAAAGTTGATGATGAATGAGTCTCAAGGGTAATGGGTGACAATTTTTGCAGTTCAGTTGCAATTGTTATTTATTATCAATTTGTTGGTGGTAGTCACTGTTATCGTCGGAAGTTTAGTGCCACTTGCTGATTTAATAATAAACTATAAAAAGGTACATTTATCTAAGAGGTAATACCAAATCACTAGAGAATAGATATTATATGCTGTCATTTGGTCATGATTGCCTTCCAGGCTTACATTGAACGACAGCATTATTATATTAGTGGAACAGCGAAATACCAACCGTACCTCTTTGTTTAAAGCTTTTTAAATGTTATTGGTATTCAAGCTAATGACTTAATGCATTTTTCTGTCTTCTTATAACAAAAAATCTCTTTTTATAAAAACGACATATAATACAATTAATTTTTCTTTAAGGCCCTTACAAATAATGTCCTGGGTTTTTATTTAATTCCACTTTTTTATTCGCTGAGAATAAATTGCACAAAACAAAATCCAAATTATATTTATGATTTCTTATCCTTTTTTCACAATATATTTTTTTATTTTCTCGTTTAGATTGTGTACTGCAAATCGACAACTTCTGAAGATGCGACGGCGGTAGCTGACCAACAACGAACACCATCATAACAAGAGAAAAAAGACAAAAAAACCACGGCATAATCGGTCGTAAACAGAAGAATACAAAAAAACATAACCTCAACAACTGGACGACAGTTGTGTTTTTTTTACTGCTAAGGACGGCAGAGATCATGGCGGACATTGATATGGCTGACAAGCAGTTAAATTAGTTTTAAGATTGACACAGACACAGCCCTTTTGTGCTGCAGCAGCAGCTGCAGCAATCGAACCACAAAATACGGGGCCACAACAGAACAGATTCCAAGCACACACACATACATATATATTCAATCATATATATAGCTGGAGAAATATAAAATAGAACCTAAAACAGACAACGAAATCGCAATTTAACGAAGACTACGAATCTCAGAGAAAGAAAAGAAAAAAACCCAAACGAAAACAAATCCCGCATAGTAAAGGAGCTGAAATTTAATCCTTTTTTAAATTAAATCTTGGCGACGTTGTTATCCATCGATCTGTTGTTAGCAGCGAGAGAGGCTGTACCACGACCACTGCAACAAATTCACGATGACTGTAAAGATTTTTAGACGTGGCTCCGCACGTTGTATTGGCTTGTTATCGGCCTTTATAACAATTCTACTATGCCTTTACTATATTTCTATGGGACAGCCCTCGAACATACAACCTAAGGAGCCCATCGCTAGCTTGTTTGTTGGCAGTGGGGGTAGCGGTGCGTCAGCGGCAGGGCAAGTCAATAATCTAGTTGCTGAAAATGGTGCCGACAATACTGAGCCCCAACAACTACGAATTTATGGCAGTAAAATAAGACACGGCAACAATGAAGATGAGAATGCCCCACCAACGGCATTGAGGCAACATCAATTGATGGCAAAATCTGCAGTCAATGGACCAAGACAACAAAATGCAGCCGGTGATGATGCAGTGGATTATGGTGCTGCTGCAGCAGCTGGTAGTAGTGGCGTTGATGGTTCCTTTGGCAGTGGCAATATGTATGTCAATAATCCTCAATGGGGCGATAAATGTTATATTTTAGAGGAAAGCGAAACCAACATAACATCACAAGATGAATATGCAAAATTTGATTTTCAGGTAAGGAATGGCAACAAATACAGAAGTTGAATAGTAATAATCAATTTTATTGTAGTAACCTACATCGTAATAGGTTACTACAATAATATATTTAAATTGATCCTAAAAATATGCAACATATTTACGTAATGGTATTTGTTCGTTAGTTAAATTTAGTTTTAGTTAAATTATATAGATATATACGTTGTTGATTTTAATATACATATTTATTTATATTTATTTCTTAAATCTGTTTTCAGCCTGAATGGGTTCGTACCAAAGAATATTGGGATCGTGGCTTTGAAGAACGCTTCGAGGCCCAGAAAAAAGACAAACAAAGACCACCACTAAAGGTAAGCATCCTAGTTTATAGTAATTTGACATAATACATACCAAATATTTTCCCTTTTTTCCTCGCCAGGTAATTGTTGTCCCCCATTCACACAATGACCCGGGCTGGTTAAAGACCTTTCTCAATTACTTCCAAAGTGATTCGAGACAGATTCTAAATCTAATGGTCACAAAAATGCAAGAATATACCGATATGACTTTCATATGGTCTGAAATAAGTTTCTTACAATTGTGGTGGGATCAAGCCCATCCTACCAAACAGAGGGCACTGAAACGGCTAATTAATTCTGGAAGATTTGAAATTACAACTGGTGGTTGGGTTATGACTGATGAGGCTAATGTCCATCTCTATGCCATGTTAGATCAACTGATTGAGGGACACCAGTGGCTAAAAAATAATTTAAATGTTACACCCACTGTAGGCTGGTCAATTGACCCCTTTGGTCATGGCAGTACTGTACCATACCTACTTTCTGGTAGCAATTTTGAGGGAGCTATTATACAGCGTATCCATTATGCCTGGAAACAATGGTTTGCTAGACATCAAAAAGGAGATTTTATATGGACACCATACTGGAACACCCATGGTGGTGGTGCAACAGATAAGGAGCAACAACAACACCGCAAGGGAAGTTTGTTAACGCACAATATGCCATTCGATATATATTCCATAAAAGGTTCATGCGGACCACATCCTTTCATCTGCTTAAATTTTGATTTCCGTAAAATACCTGGTGAATACACGGAATATTCAATTAAGGCTCAGTTCATTACTGACGAAAATATTGAGGAAAAAGCTCAGTTGTTATTGGAACAGTACTCACGCACCGCTTCTTTGTTTCCGCATAATGTAGCTCTAATCCCAGTAGGCGACGATTTTCGTTATAACAAAGAACGTGAAGTTGATCAGCAATACACAAATTACAAAAAACTCATCGATCACATCATGGCCAATAAGAGGCTATATAATGTGGATATTTCGTTTGGCACGCCCAAGGACTATTTCAATGAAATCAAAAAGAGAACAGCAGAGTTTCCCACATTTAAGGGAGATTTCTTCGTATACTCTGACATCTTTTCTGAAGGAAGACCAGCATATTGGTCGGGATATTTCACAACACGTCCATCATACAAAATTTTGAGTGCTGATTTGGAACAAAATCTTCGTGCCGGAGAAATATTATTTACCTTGGCATATAATACAGCTCGTCAGAGGCATCATGAGAATGCAATAAAAATATTTGAAAAGAATTATGAGAAAATGATACATGCCAGACGCAATCTGGGTCTGTTCCAACATCATGACGCCATAACAGGGACATCAAAGGCAGCTGTTATGCGCGACTATGGTATGCGTTTGTTTGAAAGTATTCAGGATGTTGTACGCATGCAACAATCTGCCATTGAGCTGCTTATACAAAACGGTACAGAGAGACACAATTTCCTTCTAAGCGAATTGGAGAGAGATAACTTCAGTAAATTGCCACGAAAGACTCCCATACCATTGGCTACATCGTCTCCCAACAGTGATTTCTCCATTGAGTTTACATCTTCTTCGGCGGATGGCAAGTCCGCCAACTTTGTGATATTCAATCCCTTGACCCATAAGCGTATAGAGGCACTTACAATTAGAACTACCACACCGTATGTGAAGATTCTCAACGATGCCGGCCAGGAATTAAGAAGTGTACAAATAAATCCCGTTTGGAATATTAGCGATCCCTATGAACTGGGAATGAATATGATGGGTTCGTCCACCACGGCTCGTATACGTATTTCTAGGCGGCAGTATGAGGTAATGTTTATAGCTGAATTGGATCCATTGTCGTTAACTTCGTTCACGGTCGCAGTGGATGAGGTTAATGCCAAACGACTGATGTCAACAATCTATTGTGATGAGTGCACAGATCAAATGGATGGAAGTACTACCGAGAGTCCATTGTCGAAAGAGGAATTTGTTGTAAAATCTAAACCACCGGGTGAGTAACAGCTTTGAAAATGTAATTTTCCTCTGTAACGTAACCACAATTCTTTTGATTCCAGGCGATATCCAATTGGAGAACAATTTCATGCGTTTATTGTTTGACGAGAAGACTGGCTTTCTGAAGACAAACACCCGTAAAGGGGTTAATCAGCAACTGCTAAATCCAATGCAATGCGCCATCAAATTTGCTGCTTATCGTAGTGCGCAATTTCATTCAGGGGCATATCTGTTCAAAACGGATCCCGAACAAAGTGAGGCAGAGAAGGATGTATTGGACCAATACGAAGATAAACGTATTATAATTACATCGGGTTTGATAGCCAGTGATGTTACAGTTATTTATGGACCATTCTTGGCACACACGGTTCGAATTTTCAACACGAAAACCCACTTGGATGCAGCAATATACATTGAGAATGACATCGATTTTGAACCACCACCCAAGAATCGGGAAACTGAACTGTTTATGCGTTTTATAACTGACATTGATAATATAGCTCCAGTGAACAAGGATACCTTAAAGGATGGAGATACAATTCCGGAGTTGCCAGAGTTTTACACCGATCAAAATGGTTTCCAATTTCATAGGTAAGTTTTCAAGTGTGCTTGCAATGCGTGTATTTAAATATTTTATATTATATATTTTCAGACGTATCAAGGTACCTTCGATTGGTATTGAGGGCAATTACTTCCCCATTACAACGGCTGCCTTTATGCAAGATGACAAAGTAAGATTTTCATTATTGACTACTCATGCCCAGGGTGCTGCCAGTTATGAACCAGGTCAATTGGAAGTAATGCTCGATCGAAGAACTCTGTACGATGATTACCGTGGCATGGGTGAAGGTATTGTTGATAGCCGGTTGACGCGTCATAAGTTCTGGGTTGTCATAGAAGATATGCCTGTTGTAGCCAAACCCAAAAAGTATCAAGTGCCCAGTTTGTTAACCAATTATTTGGCGAATGGTTTACGCTACCCTCCCACCATTTATTTTGTGGAAAATTTCGAAAACCCACCTCACTTGAAGAATAAAGCTTTGCTCTTGGATAATGGCGCCCTGCCATGTGACGTGCATCTGATTAATTTCCGTACCTTGTCAGAGGAACAATTACAGCTATTCCCTTCGTCATCAGCTTTAATGATTTTACAAAGGCAGGGTTTCGATTGTTCGGTGAACAATAAACAGGATATTGATCTGCTTTCCAGCGTGTGTCCCTTTAAACATCAAGGTCTTGGCCATGTTAATTTCAATAAATTGCATTTAGATTCTTTGGAAACCACCAGTTTAACTGGCATATTGCCAGTACATAGACGTAAGAAATTGAAGAACTTCAATGACATTACCATAGAGCCAATGGAGTTATTAACATTCAATGTCACATTTAAGACTTAGAATTAAGCCGACTATCCAAAAAGAGCAACATACCGAGTACGTAAGCAATTAGAATAAGTTGTTTATTTATTTAGTTTTATTTCCATGAATCTCAAAACAACCAATCACACTTTACACACGACACGTATACAATTGACTGATTTTTTTATTCCTTTTGCTTTATTTTTGAATTTCCTTACCTTTCTAAAACTTTCATAAAATGACTGAATTTCTTAAACAACGCAATATTAAAAAAAAATATTTTCTATTAATATTCACAGGATAGATTGTCTTCTATTATTGCACCTATCATTCCAAACAGACTTTTCGTTCAAACAACCCACAATAGCTTTCACAACTACAACAGTATTCCAATGGAACAAACTGTTTGCTGGGGTAGAGTTTTTTTAATATACATATAGATTTTCCTTTTATAAACGTCATACCTCTCTAATTTTTATTATTGTTTATACTATACAAAGCAAATAGTACACATTTTTTTTAAACCGATTTATTTTATTTAGTTTAAACTGTAGGTCAGTAATAGTTTAAATACAGAAACGCCAGTGAGATATCACTTAAAATTTAAATTGTGTGTTAATTTCAATGGAATCGTAGTCAAATATTCAATTTGACCACTACTGTATTTTTGTTCTAGATATAATCAAAGAAGTGCAATATATGCCAACACGTCCTCTTTTTGTCCTTCGTCAGTATATATTAACTAGATGCAAATGATATTTATTTAAGAAAAAACAAAATATATTTACAAAGTAAAACATAACGTAACTAACAGACACACACATAGAGTACATGTTATATATATATGTATGTACCTTTTCTCTTGAACCAGACCAGATTTTATGATAAATCGTTAAAAACAAAAGAAATGAAAACAAATCATTTTAATCGAAATACTTTTCATATTATTATACTGATTATCATTATTAACGAATCTCTTTAAATAAAGGTTTATTTTTCTCAGGCATTATTTAACAAACAAGCAAGCAAATATTAAATATAAAAGGAAAAAATACAAGTACTACGTTTGTCACATAAGAATCCCTATTTAAAATCCGAGAAACATTTTATACAACATCACCACTATATATAGTAATTCAAAATACGTGGTAGTTCTATATTTATATATTTGTTCAAACATCACTGTAATAATTGTAGATTTATTTTTATAGCTTTTAGAGAAAATTTTATGGTAGAAAGTAAATAATATGGACTGATAAAAGGATACAACATTTCGTGTAAGTGGGGATACAATTAGAGACTCCAAAACAAAAATATACGAAAACGAATATTGGGAAAAGAAGATGCTATACATGGAAAATGTTTCCCACTACAAAATATTCTGAAAAAAAACACGAGAAAGTAAACAATGTGCTTGTCCCTTAAGGCATTGAACATTTTTCCCTATTACAGAAGTCATAATTATTGAATGGTCTTATAGTTGGCAATACATTAGGGGACAGTACATTAATTCGTCATATATTCATATTAGAACTGGGAATGTTGATACAACTACATCCAATTATTTATATTTGGATTTATATTAACCAATTTTATATTGTCACAGTTATTATTCATTCTAAAAGTTTGATTTTGCGTATCATTAGTTTTCTAGAACAATTTTTTTAAACCAAAATTTATATAAAATATTTATTTAATGACTGATTATTACATTAATGTATTTATGTAGTATATTTGTATATTTTAATATATTTATTAATTAGTTATGCCTAATTTTATTAAGTAACAAATGTAACACTTGCCTTTTTAGCAACAAATATTAAAAAAAACAAAAACACAAAACCGAATTTCTATTTTGAAAAATAATTAGTTGAACATTTTTTATGTTGCAAGTAATTTAATTTTTGTTATTGAAGGAGGCCTACATAATTAAAAAAAATGAATATGAAATTAAATACATTGAATTTGCACGTCATTTTAGAATAAAAAACAAAAGAAACACCACAAGCAACCAAATTGTAAATACCAACTAAAGTTCTTTCAAAAATATATTTAAAAAATAACAAACAGTAACAACGTTTTTATATATAGCGCCACAAATCGTAATGAAAAAACCCTTGAAAGTATTTAAATACCATAGTTACTACTTAAATAAAGCCTCGAGTAAAATATGAAAAATATATATTAAACAAAGTTTATCAGTAAAAAATGAAAAAAAAACAGAGAAAATGCCCTAACAAAAAAGTGTTGCAATGAAAAAAAAGACACCATAGCTCTTAAAACCTTAATATATATAATACAAATCTATATACTATAATTGATATTTTTAAACTAAGTTTTAGGTACATTTTAAACATACTTTACAAAATGATACTTACAAATAAAACAAGAGAATAAATAACACGTCAAAAGAAACCACAAAACGAAATTTAAAATAAAATGTATTCTTCAAAACAAAATAAGATGTGTTTTACTTTATTATATCTCATCCTTATGGCTAATTTGGAATCGATTTGCAAATGTCCGACTGGCTGGTGTGCATGATAACTCTCAAAGGGAGTAACCGATTTCACTTAAACTTTTTACATCGTAATATTATTTCCAAACTTAAATCAAGTTCGAAGATGGGGAATGTCGGTCTTCTCCTTCTGTTACCTACCACAAAAATGGTCAAAACATATGCCCCATATAAAGCGGAATAAAACCCGTCTATAATTCCTTAGACCTCCGTAGTCGGCAACACCGACTGGTTAACAGCAAGATCAGACTTGTCATATGAGAAAATTCAACAAATTTTATTTTATAACATATTTAACAAACTACTAAAATAACAAAAAGTAAAAATTTTAAAAACAACATTTATACTTATTTTAAAGTATAATGAAATGATATGCTACATGATTTTTAATCACACATAAATTCATACATGTTTGGTCCTTTCTTCAATAAAATACCTTGCAGATTTAAAATATCCACAATATTGGTTACACCACATGAAATGCCGACACGCCGAGCCATATCTTTTAATTCATCAAATTCGAAAATTCTTCTTGACACAGCACCCGAACGCATTTGTAGAATTTGATGAAATTTTCTTACATTCGCTTGAGTCCCGCTGCCCCGTGGAGTGGTTGATGACATTACCGCCGTGGCTGGATTTGTATCAATATAATCACCTAATACCAAATCATTATTGCTCTGCTTAACAATGCAAACAACATCGCGAACATGTACCGGTGTTACTTCACTGGAAAAATCTATTCGGGCGCGAGCCTGACATAGACGTATTAGACCAGCTAAATGACTGAAAGGGAAAAGGTTTGGGATAAATATAAAATGTTATTAAAAACAATTTAACCGTCATTAGGAGGAAAACTTGTATATAAGCCCATTTAAAATCTTAAAAATAAAAAATCGAGAATGGGGGGGGGGGGGGGGGGGGGGGGGGGGTTCCCTTAAGTACTATTTTATTTTAGAGAAATAAAAATATGGAACACTGTTTTACCAAATTTAATTACAACAACGTTGACAAAAATAGATACATTTAATAATAAATATTGAACAAATTTAGTTTAATGTAGTGTTGTTTCTAGTAACAACATCCAAATTTTCAGTAATTAAATGACGTCATAATCTGCTATTTTATTAATCACATTACAACCTATTAGCATTTGCCACATTTGTCGATTTTCTTTTATAACTTTTGCAGTTGGTTTAGAACATTAAAATGTTTTACATCATACTGAATTAAGAAAACGGTTTGAGTTGCATTACAACTTGATGCACCGTGATGATAATGTTCGTGTAGCAGTTTTGTTACTGCCATTGAACTCATCTAGACTTGCACTGCAGCAAAAGTGCTGAATACAAGAGTTAGCAGACCTTTTGATCGTTGTTAAAGTTTATTCGTTTCATAGCTTTTATAGCGTACAGTATGCATTGGATAAAAGTTCTTGGATCGTTTCGTAAAAAATATTAAAGTGTGTTTTAATGTGTAAATATTTGCGTTAATTCAAGAAATTCTATAATATTTTGAAATAAACAAAAACGAGTAAAACTTATTGTCGGAAAAATGTTTATCCAAATAATAGGCATTTTGATGATAATTTGTGGACTAAATGTTCAAGGATTTCAAATGAACAGTAAGTATTAAGGAGAAGAGCGGACATTAGGTTTTATAAAATAGTGTAAATACTGTGATAATAAAAATGTCCAACCTATTGTGTTGTGTAAATATGTATGTGTACATAATTTACATTGTGTCTTATTTATAAACGTTTTGAAAAACCGTTCATGTGTAATTGTAAATGTTTGTAATGTAAATATAATTGTCGGTAGCATTCAAAATCAGACCCAGTAAATATAATATTATTAGAATAATACGATATTTCAATGTAGAGTTTGAAATAGCAGTGGTAGCATTTATGGCCAACGGAAAAAAGCTTTGAAAATTGGTTGTATCTTCTCATGAGATAAGCAAATCATATTGGATAAGCAAATCATAATTTCTATTTTGAGTGAAAATACAAATATTGAGTTACAAATCTACAACTTTTGACATTTCTAGTGGTGGTAAGCTGTTATAAAAAATTGATAAAGGGAGTATTTTAGAAAAATCGTCGGAATTTAGAAAATAAAATATGCACTTCACGCAAAAAATCTAAATAATACAAATTATTAATCTAACCCCAAACTACTTATTCTAACAATGCCTAGAAGTAAAGAAATGTGTCGCAGTCCCTCTTTTATTATTCATACAAAAATGCAAATGTATATTTTAAATTCAACAAAGTGTTGTGCGACATTTTTGCAAATGTTAATAGAATTTAAGTCCTTTAATGTTATTTTGATACAAACGCTTTGATGAGCCTACACAATAATTATACTAATATAAATCCTAAAAATTGACTGATGGTTGTAATACAGCGTTCGTTATACGTATACATACATTTAGCGTAGGCATTATTTTTTTAAATCATTAAAAATTTGCATATTTATCTAAAACAGAACATAAGCAAGTCAGTAAAGCTAATTGGTAGATAACAAATTCACTTCAGGGCAATACAAATCAACAACAATAGCTTTACGTTACGACTAAACTTGTTTTGTAACACAATAAGTGAGAACAAATGTTGGTATTATTCCATTACTACCACAAAAAAAAAACCGAAACAAAACAAAAGGATGTTCTAGATGGACACACAAGAACACATCAATGTTAAGAAGCTACTAACCACAAAGCAAAAAACGAAATGGCAATAAAAAGAAACAAGTTTCCCTTTCACTTTCCGCAAGCAAGAAAAAACATGCCTAATTAGGTTTAACGGCAGGTATAAGCAAAATACCATAAAACTTCTCAAGGATATTAAGACATCAGATGAATCAGTTACATTTTGGAAAGATTTTTTTCATTCGTTGTTTTGTTTCCTTGCAGTGACGCAGTATTACAAAATGCCACCCTTGTATGACTTCGATAGTTATGATCGTTGCCTGCAAGAGTTTAATGCTGATCAATCGATGTATTGCTTTGTGCGTGCAGATGTTTTGCCAGAACCTAATGCTGAAGCTTGGCAAGCCATTGAAAATATATCGAAATATTATAAACATCATTTTAATCATGGCCATTTGTATTTTGGTATATGTGTGGAATGGTGTCGAAGGCAAATCGATATATTGCCAAAAGATGAAGCTGATTCTTTACACATTGGAATACTGAAGAATAATACGAAGGTATGCAAATAAAATAAATAATAACGTTAAATAAACAAAAGACTTAAGAAACATGCTGAGAATCATGGACCCTAAGGTGCTGATCTGAAGTCTACATTTGTAACGTAGTGTTCCCTATACATTATTTGAGAAATTTAACATCAAAAAAAATTTCGTTTCTTTATAACTCAAAAAGAGGGTTATACCTCTCATGTTTGAAAGTGGAACTCTCTCACAAATCGTTAATATTTTGAAAAATTAAATAGTATTTCGTAAATGGAATATCGGTATCTTCTCACCAAGTGAAGAGATCAAACTATCACAGAGTGTCTGCGACCAAATCATTGAAAAAGAAAAATATTTGTCGGCCGATATTTTTCAAAATATGAGAAATAATTTTAACCGAATCTAAACTACATTAATTTTTCATTAACAGGTCAACACTTATTTAAATTTATTTCAATCAGAGGAATTAAATCGTCAAGTATGGAATCCACTAATGAATCAATGTGTCAATTTGCGTCTTAAGAAATATAAATTAAGAGCTGAAAGTGTCATCGAATATTGCAATAAAAGTAATGAAACTGTTGAAAATGGTAAATATAAAAAACGCCAAATTTTAAAAATAAATTTGATTTAAAATATACTTCCACAGATCTCTGGAATTTTACATTTTATATTGTATTGTGGCTGTTGATAATATTAGTAGTTGGCTGTAGTCTATTTGATTTATATCTTAAAAATCAAAATAATGATAAATTGTTAACGGATCGTGATCACTACACTGCAGCACCTACAGATATTGGTAAGAACACAATTTTTTTATGAATTTCATGTAAATTATTTTTTTCATAATTTAGCTTCCAAAATTGGTGTAGCCTTTTCGATTGCCCGCAATTGGTACCGCTTGAATCAAGAACCAACAGGCAAAGTAGGCAGAGAGTTAAGATTTTTGGATTGTTTTAAATTTTTTGCCATGTTTTTGGTTATATTTGCACACACAAATTGGGTGCTGTACGAAGGTGCCATTAATAATCCCCAAGATCCAGAACGACTTCTGCACACCGCTACGGGTACTCTACTGATGGCCGGATCATTGATAACAGTTACATTTTTTGTAATAGGAGGATTTTTATTCATGTTAAATTGGTTAGTCTTTGTCAAGGCAAACAACGAAGTGACCACAAAGGAATATATTTTAACATTTTTGAAATTTAACATATTTCGATACTTAAGGTAAAAATACTTAAATTGAATTTTTGAAACAAAATGTAACAATTTTAATTGTGTAGATTAACAATACCCTATGCCTTTGTTATTCTATGGAGTGGTGTATACTTTGAAAATGCTGGTGGACCGATGTTTCATCACATATTTGGACGGGAACAGTTGTCATGTCGCAAAAACTGGTGGATCAATTTACTATATCTAAATAATCACATCAATGTTAATGAAAGGGTATGTTTAAAACTAATTTATTCCATACGTTATCCATTACTCTAATTAATACTTCTTAAAGTGTATGCTGCAAGCTTGGTACTTGGCCTCGGATACTCAGTGTTTTGTGATTAGTCTATGTATACTGATATTGGCTCATAGGTAATATTTTTCTAGTTCTTTTGTAAATTGTACCTAACCCAATTAATTTTTCTTAGGTTTTCAAAACAACGCAAATGGATTTTGTCAACAACAGTAACATTTTTTGTACTTTTACCGGGAGTATTAACATATATAAACAACTACGAAGCCATGTTTATAGCTGCACCACAGTAAGCCATTATATTGAAATGTTAAAATGTTTTTGTTATACTTGTTACTTTTATTTTATAGAATTCAACGCGATTCCTTTATAGAAGGTCGACAATTTAATGAGTCCTATGTACCATTTCACATGAATTTTGCTTGTTATTTTTTTGGGGTTTTATCGGCATTAGTTTACGATTATGTGTCTTCGAATCGTATTAAAATTAAAGAAAACCGTTGGCTACACATTACGTTCTATGCCTTGATTCCTACTGGCATTCTGTGGCTATTCTCTGGGCATTCATTTGTACAGGAATACTCCGATGGAGAGGAAAGACGTTTCTGGGCCAGCGTTTATGCTGCTGTCCAACGAAATGTATGGGGATTCGGTTTAGGTGCATTCATTGTGGGAATGTCAGCGAAATGTGGATGTAAGTATTGATTAAATGTTTTATTCTAATTTCAGGGGTAACCAAATTTAATTTGAGCACAAATATTGAAAGTAATACGGAGATTAATAATAATATTTCGAAAAAATTAATAAAACTTTTCGCATAGAGTAAGTTATTTGCTTGTACAATTTCCATCAGTTCTATGAGCTTAATTCAAAGTTTATAAACAATATATAAAGTGTAAGAAAATAATGTGGGTCGTTTTACTTTTCCATCATAATTATATTTACCTAACGGTTTTCATTTACATTAAACATTTTGCCAATAAGATGTAATAAAACACACATCGTAATTTTCAGGGGTTCTAAGGAAATTTTGCTGCCTACCGGTATTTCGTATTTTAGGACGTTTGACATATGGCGCTTTTATGGTACATCTTATAATATGTAGAGTTGTAATTGCAACTCTAAGAGAACCTATTTACTTTGGAACTGGAATGATGGTATGTTCAATAGTAATCAAACTGTTTTTTAAACTCAATAATATTTTCTTTACAGTTTGCATTTATTGTATTCACTATGTCAGCATCATATGTGGTGTCATTTATTTTGGCCATTATACTTGAGCTACCAGTATCCTCAATATTAAAACTATTACGATGAACAAACGAACTGAACAATATTTATATAATTAGGATTAAGACGATGCATTTTTATTTTTTAAAAAAGAAAAATCAATAAACTCACCCTGAAGATATAGAAAACTGGGAACCCTCAGCCTGTTCTCTTAGTTCCAAATAGAATTTCTTTAACTCTTCACAGGCACCGTCCACGAACAAAGGTTTTACTTGTTGGCGGGAATAAACTGTAATATAGTTAAGATTATTAATATCTTTGTCTTTCACCACGGTGAAAATAAAAGATTCCTACCTATAAATTTCTTCATCAGTGTTATTGGTAATAAGTTCATATCCACTTCCTCTTCCGGGTTTAATTTTAATTTATTCGACAAATCATATTCACCGTCATTGGTACTATCGTCAATAGACATCTCCATTGTATTGTTAGGTTTTATTTCAAATTTTTTTGCAATTGCTGTATTCTTTTTTGCACCAGCATGCACAGCTCTTATGTGCTCCGACAGTGATGTATCCATATCCTTATTAGGTTTATCCAGTAGAACAAAAACTAAGTGGAATTCACACAATAAATGTGGTGCTATACGTATATTTTCGGTTAGCGTTTTAGACTGATCATAATGGCCACGCACGGAATTTGCAGTGGCAATAACTGATGTTGGTGTATAAAACGTTGAATATAGTGCTGGAAATGTCAAGCTGGTCATTTGCGCCTGAAGAACATTCATAAAAGCTTCCATTTGGGCGGTTAGTCGATCGATGTCATCAATAGAACAGTGACCACTTCGGGCAGCTAATAGTTCGCCACAATCCATAATGTAGTTAGTACGACCCCTTACGTTAGCTGTAAGCTTTTTGCTATTGGCAAATGGACCACGTTTGGCCTGAATCATGGACCCTAAAAAACATACGAATATTTTCAATATCTTTCCTGCTACACAATGTTCTTTTGTCACTTTTCTTAATATTACCTTTTTGTGATATTTTGGAACACATATTGATAATATTGGATTTTCCAACACCAGGATCCCCAACCAACAAGATATTGATTTCCTCTTCATCATGTTCCTGAGAGCCTGCACCTCCAAAAAGAGACAAAAGTACTCCGGCTTTTGTAATTTCATGGCCATGCACTTCCGGAGCTAATGAATGTACCAATAACTTGAAGGTATTACTCTCGCTGTTAATAGTCGTAATTGCCTCGATATCTTCCTCCAAGAATTTGTATTTAACTGCCTTCCCATCGACAATGGTTGTTGCTTTCATATAAACTTCCATTTGATTACAAAAGGCCGAGTACTTATCAGATTCATTTTGTTCTTGTAAGGGACGTATTCGCAGTATGCCAGTCACAACAATTTCTTGGCCCAAATAAATTGTGTCGACCAACTCATGTCGTAATTCAACACATAGACTGGGATTGCTTTGCGCTTCAGTCGATGGACTTATATCTAGGCGAGACTCGCTAAGGCGTATCATTTGTCGTGGGGTAATACGGGTGAATGGTGACGATCTTACTTCAATAAATCCAGCTTTGGCAAGGCAACCTTCACGTTTACAGGAATACGGCCGATTTATATAAGGTCCTTATAAAAGAAACTAGCAATGTAGAAGCTGTCATCCATTTGCCAATGTCAATCATTTGCTTACCAATTTGTTTTATGGCCTGTTCCTGTTTACATCGACCACACCTATATGCTAGCCATGTAACAGACGCATCGACAGGTCCTATTGATGCCACAATGCCTCGTACACAATACAGTTGATCAATTTCTAATTTTCCAACCACATTCATTGGCCGCTCTTCCATAAACCCCATGGGACGGGCATATATTTTTCGTGGTTTTATCACTTTGGGTACATAATGTTTCTTGGTACATTCCTGTTGGCTAAGGGATGCATCCAATGCAACTAGAGTAGCCGCAGAATGCATTGCTAATGCCAATGTTGCTAACGTTTTTCGTGGCCTATACAACATATCTTCCATTATAGTTGGCCATTGTTGGAACAACTCATTGTCTTGGTTCAAAACATTGGCATTAACCGTGAAATAACCCTTCTGATGTATGCTCAAGAGGTCGTAATTGGCCGCATTACCGTTGAAATGAGTTTCCAAGATTTGCAGACGTTTCGCCAATTCACTAGTTTCGCTAAATGTTTCTCCATAGAAATATAAGCGCCAACCGGCACATGCCATTGGCGTATCGATCGCCATGGATGTGATATTTTGTTCGGAATCATCTGGAGCAGCATAGAAGTGAGGACGTAAGAAGCTACTGCTAATTGGATTCTGAATATTATATGGTAGAGCCGGAACAGAGGCGCCACGACCTCTACTACGTCCGCGACTAACGCCACCAGTTCCTCGTCCACAGGCAGGAATTGTACGTCCATTTCGTTTGAAGAAAAAATATGGTCTGAAAGCACCGCCGCCTGCTCCTCGACCTCTGCCACGACCAAAACGAGGGGCACCTCCAGGCCCGGCTGGAGGATTCATTATGAATTTATTGAAGCTCGGACGATGTTATTATTACAAAACGACTGTAGTCCAACAGTCCTTCCAATATGCCCCTGATTTCTAAATTCGACTGACCATAGATGTTTGGGGATGGATTCCTTCCACTCTCTGAGATATCGGCATTAATTTATTAATTATATAATAAGGCTTAGTCCAACCATAACACTGAATTTCCAGTCCACAATGTACGGCTTGATATTTGAACTGTTTCTTCCAAGGTCCTGCTGCAGGATACGTATGCAATACTTACTGTTTAATTATCCTTTTTTATTTAATTTATTTAATTGAACTTGATTTTGATTAACGCGGCTCAGGACTACGAAGCCGACATTTTACAAATCGCCGGGGTGGCGAAATGGGAAACAAAACAAACTCTGATAACACATAATCAAAACAAAACTGATAAAGAAAGAATCTTGGCCTGACAACGTTGTTTACGAATGAGGAGGGAAGCAAAAAGACAGAATGCGGACTAAAAAAATGAATCAAAGCAAACGACCGAGACAACCAATTGTAATTGACTGCTTTATGTCAATAGATGGCGTTATATAATAAATAATGTAGCCTAAAATTATGTTTTTCTTTAGTTTAGTTGGTCTTTTTTTAAAAATTAATTTTAATTGGCGACCTACCTAACAACAAACAACAACAACAATCTATGGAATTTAAGTCAGGCCACTGTGGGTCTAAGAAAAGCCACAGAGCTTCGGGAATTTGGCCTAGAAGCATTATCGATGCCCTTTTCGAAAATGCATACCCACAGACGCCGCCGTTTTCCCACAGTGGGCGTTTTCCCACATGCATTCTAATTTAAATTTAACTCATTGAAAAATACAGTGTGTTGGAAAACGTAAAAATAAATATTGTGAGATATATTCAAATTTATTTTTACGGACATTTAGAAAAACTCATTGTTGGCAATTATACGATTGGAATACTATTACGAGAGATGTCTGAAGAATATAATTTCCCCAGAAGTTCAATCAATATAAATATCGTTGGCCAAAAATAACAATACCACGCCTAAAAACAAACGCTGTCTCATACAATTTCTTTAAATTAATTTATTGCTGTATCTTGTTCTATACTCTCTTCTTGCTAAAACTAGGCAATTTTTAATAAAATATTTAAGTTTTAAAATTAAACTTAAGACTTTGAAAAATATATCTCTGGCGTTATCCGGGTTAAGCTCTTGAAGCACACTCAATGTCATGTCGATTACTTTTATTCCCTCATACCATAACCATTATTTTATTTCAAGTTCATAAGGCATTATTATTTTTTACCATAAAAACCATATCAGCCGCATTAATGTACATGTTATCCTCCAAATTTGATTTGTTCTGACGCAATAAAAAATATTCTGGAATTTAGAAAAAAACAACGAGTTTATTAATAAAATATTAAATTCATTTTTTTGCTTTTAATTTGTATTATAAATTAATCTAACATTGAAAAGGCAACAATGAAAAAAATCATGATCTGCAAATCCAAACAATAGATATAAAGTTCATTGATTTCATGATGATGTATAAATTAGCTAAAAATTGAAATAAAAAACACAAACACACAAAACTGGAATGATGACCATCCCCAATTTGGACAGTTTACATATCATTACAAAAAATATAAAAATAAATACGACTGTTTATCGAGTTTCTTAATTTAATTCGTTGCACTGCGTTTTGTGCGCAATATCGGAAGTTCTATGTTCTATAAGATTTGTTGTGTGTTTCAAATTCTAAAATATATTTAATAAAAAAGCGAAAAATAGATCGATTAGAATGATCCTCAAATTGCAGTATAGTGTTTTTATTATAATCGGTATAATGGTGTTGAACGTTAAAGGATTTAAAATGAATAGTAAGTGTTATGTGAAGTGGGTAATAGCGGATTATATTTCAATATTATTAATTGCCAAAGAAAAAAAACTTTTGAAAACAAAACATAATTGAAAAATCTATAACTAAATGTGGCATCAATTACATTGTTTTATTTCCAGTGACTCAGTATTACAAAATGCCTCCTCTGAATGATTTTGATGATTATGATCGCTGCCTACAAGAATTTACAGATGAGTCGTTGTATTGCTTTGTACGTGCCGATGTTGAGGCCCAACCTAATGCTGAAGCGTGGCAAGCAATAAAAAATGTTACACAGTACAGCAAGCATCATTTTGATCATGGCCATTTATATTTTGGCATCTGTGTAAAATGGTGTCAATCACAAATTGATGCCATGCCCAAAAATGAGACTGATGACTTGTTTGAAGGAATTCTTAACAATAATAAAGTTGTAAGTAGAATATTTGTTGGAAGTAATTTTTTAGGTATGGCATGTAAAAGGCATTAAATTAAGAGGGTCTGGTGTCGAAAATGCAAATTAACATTTTCATTTTATGACTTCAATGTATATTCCTGGAAAATATGGTCCGGATATTATATCAGTTTATAAAAAAGGCACTTCTGATCTTCACATATAAATAATTTATTATTTAGCATTGACAATTCTAAATAATAGAATTGTTATCTAATTATAAGGCTCATACATTTAATAATTAATCCGTAATTTTTGGCTGAGGGATTAGCTCTGTATAAAATTAAAGTCCATGGGTAGTTGTGTAAGTCGAGTCCCTCCGAATATAATGCTTCGAGTACTGCCTAAAATTGTTTTAATAAATAATCATATATTATACCTCTTCTGCAGGTCAACACATATTTGAATCTCTTCGAATCCGAGGAGGGTAATCGACAACTTTACAACAAACTAATGAATCAATGTGTCAATTTACGTTTAAAAAGATACGATTTGACAGCGTTAAGTGCTATTGAATATTGTGATAGTCGCAATCAAAATAATAATGAAAAGGGTAAGCGTAGTATTAGCTGAGGAAATTAGTGTATTGAAATTGAAAATAAACTTTCTTTTATTTCAGCATTTAGTCATGATCGCTGGAATATTGCATTCTACATTGTTATTTGCACCCTTGTACTTCTGGTGACATGCAGTAGTTTTTATGATTTATATTTGAAACATAAAAATAGAGATAAATTCCTTACCGATGTGGATCACTACAAGAAATCGCCAGGTCATGTAGGTATGTACAACAATATTATTTTAATATATGACAATATTTTAAGAGATTTGTCAAATATAAAAAAATAGTAGATCAAATATAATTATTTTTATATTCAATATCTGAAATTAACATTATTAGCACTCAAAGAAATTGTGTTAATTGTTTTTGTTTACATATATTAGAAGATTTAAAGCACATCATTATTAAATTTTAATAAAACGTTTTATATTCCAAACAAATATCAATGTAAATGTGTCCCGACAATTTTAAAATAAAAAAATCTAAAATTCTATATTTTTTCAGTTCAAAAACTTGGTGTTGGCTTTTCCATTGCTCGTAACTGGTATCGGCTGAGTCAGGAACCTAATGGAAAAATTGGACGAGATTTACGTTTCTTGGATTGTATGAAATTTTTTGCCATGTTTTTAGTGGTATATGCCCACACCAATTGGATTGCATTTGAGAGTGCGCTTAGTGATCCACAAGATATAGAGGAGCTGTTGCATACAGTGGCCGGCAGTGTACTGGTCGGTGGTCTCTTAATAGTTTTAGCCTTTTTTGTTATAAGCGGATTTCTATTTGCCCTGAATTGGTTAGCTGTGACCAGAGATCGAAAGGAAATGAGCGGCGTCGAATATTTGTTAACATTTTTAAAATTCAATATTTTTCGATATTTAAGGTATGTATTTGAGGGACATTTTTTTGAGTTAAATTAATTTTGATTTTTAAAATGTTTTCATTTTATTTTAGGCTTACTATTTTATACGGATTCTTTATACTATTAAGTGGTGTTTATTTTCCCAATGCCGGTGGTCCTATATATCGCCATCTTGTGGAACGTGAAACATTGGCTTGTCGCAAAAATTGGTGGACAAATTTATTATATGTAAATAATTACATAAAGAGAGATGAAAGGGTAGGTAACACAATGAAAATTGGATTGTTTTTAAGCAGCAATTTTTGGCTATAACATTATAAGTGGACGTGGAACCAAAGAAGACCATTTAAAACATGTAGGCTTCTTATACCAATGTGATAAACCTCCACGTTTCTAAATGGACGTTCTCCTTTCCTTGTTTTTTTATTTTTACATATTTTAATCACTTGTTTTTAGTGTATGCTGCAAGGTTGGTACTTGGCTTCTGACACCCAATCCTTTGTATTCAGTTTACTTTTATTAATATTGGCTCACAAGTAAGTTGACCTTGATAAAATCCTACATAAACTTCAAATTAATGTTTTCCTTGTTCTAGATTTCCTAAATTACGAAACTGGATATTTGCTGTAACAATAGCAGTTTTCGTGGCCATTTCAGGTGTTCTGACTTACACAAATAAATTTCTGGCTTTAACTGTACCAGCACCACAGTAAGAAAAGAATTTTATTGACACTATTATTTTAGTTAAATTCCAATTAATTCTGAAATATCGTTTTTCAGATCCCAACGTGATTCGTTTATGCACAATAAGCAATTTAATGAATCCTATACACCATTTCATATGAATTTTGGATCCTATTTCTTTGGTGTTCTGGCGGCCTTAATCTATGACCATATCTCTTCGCGGGATATAAAACTAAGGCAAAATAAATATTTCAATATATTTTTCTTTGCTTTAATACCGGCAGGAATTTTTTGGATGTTATCAGGTCACTTATTCTTCCAATATTACAATGATGAACGGACTCGTGTGCTGTCCAGTATTTATGCGGCATTCCATAGGAATTTTTGGGGTCTTGGTACGGCTATTTTTATTATTGGCATGTCGGCAAAATGTGGTTGTAAGTATTGATGTGAAATTAATTATCGTGTTTATGTATGCAAGGATTTACTAATTTTTATTATTTTTTCGATACCATAACGGAAAAAAGTATGATCGTAGTAAAAAATTGTAGAGTCTTACAGCACGGGAACAGACTAGTAGAGACATGTTTCAATAATTTGCTTGAAACAGAATAATAATAGTTTATCAGCAACACAGATTTTGATTAGAAAATCACTCGATTTTTTTAAGTTTCCAGAAAAAGATGCAATGTTTAATAAAAAGTTACTTAATAATTGTTCCCAGTAGAAAAATTGTTCTGGAATATTTTCAGGAATTTTGATTATATTTTATGTTTAAATACTTGTTTAAAATTACGTGCAATAGTCATTACCTAATTTTAACAACTCTAGATTAAAAAATGCAGAATTGAATTTTTTATTACCTCAATTTTTTTTTAATTTCTCTACAGGGATCTTTAGACGTTTTTGCTGCCTACCAGTGTTTCGCATTTTAGGACGTTTAACATATGGTGCCTATTTGAGTCATGTACTAATAGCCCGGGTAGTAATTGGTACTATACGTTATCCAATTTATTTTGGAAGTGGTTTTATGGTAAGTTTTAATTACTCTGTAATTAAAAGTTATTGATTTTTTGTAAAATAACATTTCAAATTAATTTTTCCTTTCAGTTTATGTTTCTTGTATTCGATATGGTCTCTGCGTATTTTGTGTCACTTATTATGGCTATAGGAATCGAATTGCCAGTAACGTCGTATTTAAAAATGTTAAGATAATTGTAGTCTGTTTTTTAATTAGAGTATTATATAGTATAAGAAAAATATTTAAGAATAAAAAATACATATAGAATAATTGAATGTCTTTTAAACAAATACAATTTTATTATCATATTGTAAAGTTTGAGGCAAAATATTTAAGGTGATCTAGGATTACCTAAAAATATTTAGATTTAAGATCTACAGCACTTCTTGGCCGATATTCTAGGCCAGATGGGACTTTTTAATTTTTTTTTATTCAATTCGTGCTCTATGGGCCAGATATCCCATTTTTTGGCTATAATTAGAGCATCGAGCTTATGAAATAAATATCACATATAAGGGTTTAGAGGACGCTGTTTACAATTCTGCAAAAACGCAAACATTTATTATGGTGGATCAAAAACGATAATTTTTTTAAAGTTGAACTAATCAAATTATTTTTGAACATGTTTTGCAGAGCTATGACCACTAATTACAAATGTGAAATGAGATTTTGAAAATCAAATAAAATGAATCCAAAATGGCGGATCTAATGTAAGAAAAAACTAAATATTTCAGTGTTTGGCAGTATTTTAAATAAGAATTGCATTAAATCGTATTTTTATGTGTTATGGGCTTAAAACTATGGAATAATTTAATTACATTTTAGTTATATTTGGGTGAAAATGTGTTCAAAATCCCCAAACTACCAAATATGGGGGGTCCGAAACTTAAGTCAATATTGATAGTTTTTGGTACGAAGATTTCACACCCAATGAGAATTCAAAATACTAAATGGTTGGTTGGTTGAAAACGATAACAAAATCAAAAAAAAAAAAACAATATTAGGGGGTACCTTTATATGGGGGCTAACCCAAATAGTGGATCCAAATGAATAATTTGGGGTAAGAATATATGCTTCATAAATTAAATAACAAGTAGTAGCTTTCCAGAAATAGGAAGACATAATTATATGGGGGTTATGTGGATCTTTCCATATATGCAAAATATTTGAAATATCGAATTTTGTCCTCAGAGAAAAAATATATATATATGCGAAATACCAACTGCTGCCTGACAAATACAGGGCGAAAATTTTTAAAAATATTTTTCATGGCCCAACACAATAGCCGAATTAATAAAAAAAATACTGCACTATAGACATGGCGTGATTTTATTAAAAAATTGTTTGGAAATTAAAACTAAGAATTATTAAATAATCCACAGCTAATTTTGTTTTTGTGAGAAATTGTTTTATTTATTCTTTGATACACATTTATTTAACTGGACTTTTCTTTATAGATTTTGTCATGACACAGATAAGACAAGACACTTGCTTGCCTTTGACACAAATTAAAGGAACTTTTAACATTAACCTTTGGCGGAATGACCTTCAAGCAAAAGAAAAAAGAGAAAAAATGCGATGCCTTAAAGTGAAATACTCAATTACGGCACTTTAAAAATAAAGAAAATTCTATAAGAACACGAAATATAGCGTAACTGTTTGTAGACCAGTATATGGGATATTCCATACATCATTTGAGAAAAGCAGTCGAGTGAATGGTGAACAACTTATAAATGAATTTTGAACGCACAAACTTTACATAACTAAAATCATATTTTATTCGAATCTCGAATCAGGAAAGAATGTGAATTAAACAAGTAAATTGCCTCATATAAATAAATATTCACTACTAGTATGTACGTATGTAAGATTTACTAGCCTACATAGCCAATGGTGTTGATATACAAGCACATGCCACTGCTAATGTGTTGTCTATCTACATGCAAGGATATCTACACAAGGCCATAGATGTGATGTGAACTTTTTAAAGGCTTTACATTTTTTCTAGTGAATCATTTCATTTTTGTTGTATTTCTTTTTTAGCACGCCTGTGGCAGGATAAATGTGTTCACTTGGGCGTGCTGTGTTCGCCGGCATTACATATGTGAGTGAGCGTGTGTATGCATGCAAGAGTAAAAAGCATACAAGTGCACTTTACAACTGTGTGAATGTGTGTGTGTGTATGTCTGTGTCTACGCAAAATTATATCTGGGTTACAAAAACATTAAGTGTTTAAAGCTGTCATCAGTGGAACGGCGTAGAAAAGAGGGAATCCACGGACTATCCTAACAAACTAGAAGTTATGTTGAAATGTTTGCGATGTGTTGTTATTCCTTCTTTGCAATAAATTTCAAGATTCATTTATATTTCTAAAAAGAAACACACACACTCTTGACAAGGAAGCTGACACATTTATGCGGAAGATGTGCAAACAACTCACAAGTGTGTTTTTGTTATATTTTTATTTTTAAATATTCAATGTTTAACAATTTAGCTCAAATAAAAACATATATTTTTGCATGTATGCCATATAAAAATTTATTATCTGAACTATTTTTCTTAGAATTTTATTTAAAAAATACATTGAAAATGGTTTAGTATTTTATACTATGGAAAATAAGTTATTAACTTAATTTATTTTTTATATACTCTTTAAAAATATTTACAGAGGAATAATCATATTTTTAAAAATTTTGAAATAACAATGGGAAAGAATGTTTATATGGGGAGTTATTTTAAAACATGGATATATTTTCATAAGATTTTTTTTTGATATTATTTGGATCAAATTTACAGTCATGTCTAATATTTAAAATTTTGTATATTAACTTGGTTTGCATTTCAACACTAATTAAAAAAAATCATACATGTGAATGTATATGAATCTCACATATGTACGACACAACTACACACACTTCTTAGTATGACCATTCTGTGTGCGAATTTTTGTTTTGTTTTAGCTTCTGGTCGTTTTCTTCGTGTCGTTGTTGTTGTTTTAAGTGAATTTTCATTTACATGAAAATGGAAATTGTGATGATTTGTTTCCTTCTTGCTTTTCGTTGCCACCAGCAAAGTGAGAAAAGGATTTGCTGCTTTCCATTCTAAGTTGGGCGAAATGACTACAGACTGACTGTCAGTTTAGTAGCGATTGTCAACATGTGCGATACACAACAATGTTTGTATTTCAACGAATTGTTCTTGTTTCGGAATAAACGGTTGTTTGAATGAAAAAATAAAAAAAACGAATAATAATATGTACGTAACATTGTAATGACATATCAAAACTACTACTTTGTCCAACTTGGATTGTCTTCCTTTATTTGTTGGCTTACTTATTAAGTTACCAATATTGAATTACCATTGAAAGGCATGCCACCACGCCTTGGCTAAAAACGCGTCAATGCAGCTCTTTATTACCTTGAATAATTCAAGGAAGTATTTTCCGCCATATCCATAACCACCGCAGACAGATACCGGCCACGAAACACCATCAACCGGAACTCCCGTTCAACACAGTCTGAGGAAATAAGTGTGAATTGAAGAAGAAGAAAAAAAAAATGAAAAACTTTGGAAATTGTCTATTCGGTTAGCTAAAACGCCACTAACTGAAATAAAACAAAGCCAAAGCTAAACGTGTTCAAAAAAAAAAAAAAAAAAAACAAATGAAAATATGCGTTTATTACACTCATCAAGTGGTATTCGTTGCTTGGTGTTTAAAGGAAATTAATTTGCCAGCTCCACCCCATTAAAATGCACGATATCACATTGTTGGAATTAATTAAAATTGTTAAAAGTTTTTAATTAATGTTCTTAAAAAATGTGTTTTAGAATTTTATTGGTATGTGAATTTGTATTTCATAGTTCACAAAGAATTACTCATGGAGTGAATAAATGTTGGGCAAAGACAACATGGTCATTGATATGACACATTTGACTAATATGGACAATAATGGGAAATCTTGGATGAGGTGGATCCAATGAAGGCATGTCGTCTAAACAATGTATTATTTGGATGATTGGATTTTCCAGTCCATTACAAGATTACAGTTAATTTAAATTAACCAATATCCTTGGTTGATTTCATATTTATTTATTTTTTTTTTGGAAAAAGGATTTTGGATAGGAGTTTTTGGAAATATGATTTTTATATGCTAAAATAACGTAATGAGTACCTCTGCATGTATATCAAACCATACACGTATTTTTAGAATTTATTGCAACGATTTTTCTTTTTTTGAGAATTCGGATTATGAAATAAATAAATATCACATATAAGGGTTTCAAGGACGCTGAGGTTCTGAAACCATTTTTTTATGAGTTTTATATGCGAAATTTGTTATTATAATATTATCTTCAAATGGCCATTATAATCACCAAACCCTTCTGTTTATTTGATCGCCATTTCATGTTAATATTTTAAAAATTTTCAAATGTAAATTATATTCACAAAAATATGAAATTTTGACTTTTACCTTATGTCATTTGTAAACCGCGATCCAAAGCTCAAAATCCCCATTTCTGGCCCATAGTGCATACTGGCAAATTTAGTATTTTGGGTTCTCATTGGTTAGAAAATATCCCTACAAACACTATTGACTTAAGTTTCGGAGTATATTCCTGATTATTCGGTGTTTTGGTGGTTTTAGGTTTGTTTTTTTTTTTAAAGGAATTGGTCGATATTTTAGGTTGTCATTGGGTATAAAATCGACATACCAAAATTTACTACATGGGGGTTGGCTATACCCCATACAAAGGTCCTGATCGATTTGAGGAATTTTTCAATGTTTGCCCATATGAAATATGAACGGAATATTCAATCACAATCCCTAAATGTCAAATTTGACATTATTTGCTTAGAACTATTACTATGGAAGCTATATGTAAGCAGAAACGATGCCAAAATATAAACCTACTTCAAGAATTTAAGTAAAGCAAATATTTTGAACGAAACAAAAAATGTGGACAAAAGATTTTGAGTGAAAAATGTGTATTTACTTTTAAAACAAAACTTCAGACAAACATCTATTATATGAATGAGTGTTAAAAATAATTCCAAAACAAACTATTTTCGTTTTGTGACCCCAAAGTTTACACAAATCTCAAATGCATTTACCTGGTTTTTTATAATTTCATTGACAGTAAATATTTTTTTGTTTATCTTTATATTTTTTATTTTTAATTTCGTGTTATTTTC